GCACCATCCCAAACAAGCTTGTCAACTCCATTAGGATCAAGGTCCTTGATTTTTAGAATAGCCTCTGTTTCCAAAAGGGGAGAATGTAGAGTGGAGAGTGTCCGTGTTCCATCTCCTGCCAGTCTCATCTATGAGTTCACTCACCCAAGTGAGGTTGCTCTGATCTTATCTATTGATGATCTTGGGGATAGAAGGGATCCATGGTTGGTTCCAGATGTTGATTGTCCTGCCATGCCTGATGTCAAATCTCAGTCCACCATGCTGGGGTTCTTCACCAGAGAGCCCCTCACCTCGAGCCAGCTATTCCATAGCCATGAGTTGTTTTGTTTATTGGTGGCAGTAAAAAAGATGTCTCTGTGGCAGTATCTTGCTTTTATAACTTTACTGACAAGAAGGTTGGGCTTAGATATAATCATCCAGATTTATTTGTTATAAGAGCCTTGTTCATGAGATTAATGTCCTTGAACCCCAACCCCCCTTGTTCCTTAGGTAAGGTAATGATACTCCAAGATTTCCAGTGAATGTTTTTCTTTTGCTCTCCGTTACTTCACCAGAACTCATCAACTGCTTTGTCAATGCTTGTTTTAGTGACTTTTGGTATAAGGAAGCAGGACATTGTGTAGATATGCAAAGCATTCAACACAGAGTTGATAAGAACTTCTTTAACTGCAACAAACAAAAACATTGTTTTCCAGTTCAAAATTCTATTCTTAACAGATTGTTCCACATAAGCAAAGGTATCAATTTTAGATTTACCCAAACCCAGGGGTAGCCCCAGGTACTTGGAGGAAGAATGCACTGAAATGCCATTAAAAGTGCTGTAAATTTGGCTCTGAATATGAGGTGGGGTATTTTTGCTAGAAAATAGATAATATAGAGAGGTTGACTAGCTGGCCAGTAAAAAGGTGGTATTGTTTAGAATATCAAGTAACATAAGGGCTTGATCATTTGAGGCTTGAGAAAAAAGTAAGGTATCATCTGCAAAAAGGATATGGGTAAGGTTGGGGCCATTATTGTTGATTTTCAGCCCTTTCCCGTTCCCATTAGAGACCTCAACTTTGATTAAGCATGAGAATATTGCAGATATCAAAATCAAAATATAGGGGTACAGTGTGTCCCTCTGTCTAATTCCCCTGGTAGCTTTAACAAAACCTTTGGGAGCCCCATTGATATTAAAGGGGAAGCAAGGAGAAGATATGCAGGCCATAATCCAGTTAATAAAGGAAGAATGAAAACTTAATTTACACAAAATATGGCTAACACAAGGCCAGTCTACCCTATCAAAACCTTTGGACATATCTAATTTAATAGCCATGAAGAAACAATTGCCAGATCTATTCCTATTAAGAAAATGCTAAGATTCATGAGCAATAATGACATTACATAGAATTTGCCTTTCTGAAATGAAGGCTGATTGGCTATCACTAATACAGAGAGGCAACCATTTTTTGTGTCTATTAGCAAGAATTTTGGAAATAGTCTTATAAAAAACACTACATAAACTAATAGGCTATAATGAGAAACAAGTTCAGGATTTTGGATTTTAGGAATCAATGTAATAAGAGTATAATTTAAGCTAGAAAGGATTCTGCCTGATTCAAAAAAGCTAGAGGCAGAAGAGCAAAAGTCAGTTTTAATTATATCCCAGAAGCAATGGAAAAAGGTGGAAGTCATACCATCAAGGCCTGGGGCCTTGTTGCTATCAATGCTGAAGAGAGATTCTTTGATTTCAGTCTCATCCACCAGGGTTAATATTATTCATGTATGCAGTGATGACAGGTTGAATGTTGTTCAACCGTACAGTGCCTCCTGAGGAGCCCTCAGAGGTAAACAAATGAGAGTAGAAATCTTCTATGCAGCCTGTGATTTCCTCTGAGATGATGCAAGGTGTACCATCTTCTTTAAGGATCTTGGTGATATTGTTGATCATTTTTCTCTAGGCAGTATGGGCATAAAAGTATTTGGTGTTCTTGCCACCATTTTGGAGCCAACATATCCTGGATTTATGCCTCCAAAACTGCTCCTCTTGAGAATTTACCATGTTCATTTCTCTCTTGCATTCATTTCTCTCAAGAGAAGAAGATTGTGGTATTATGATAATCTGAAGATATTATGGACTTGAGCTGAGGTATAGAAGGCTGACCAGTCTATGGAAGCAAATACCCTATCAAACCTTTCTTCTACATAATTCTCCTCTGATCTACAGTTCTCCCAGGTGAGTTGATGCCCCACAAGTCCTAAGTCCTGACCACCCAGATTGTGAAAGAACTCATTGAAATTTCTGAATGAGGATTCTGTTATGGTTTTGCCTCCTTTTTTATCCTCTGCACCTATGATCTCGTTCCAGTCACCACCCACAAACCAAAATTTGCCCTTGTTCTGCTTTTCAGATAGAATGAATTCTCTTTGCTCCACTTTGATGCATGATCTGTGCTGGCATAGATGAAGATGCCCCAGCAGGAAGCTTGCAACATTGGATCCCAAAAATTGACTTAGAAACAAAAATAATTCTTGAGGATCTGAATGATCTTAATGGAAGAGTTCCAAAAAAGGAGGAGACCTCCACTCTTACCATTGGGTTCAAAAGAAGACCAATTATCCCTACTCCTAAATTTCTACATACAGTTTTGACAAAGCTATTTTTTTTTTCGTTTCTGAAAGAAAGGTTAAAATTGGGGTGTGGAGCCTCATACTCTTCTTAAGTTAGGAGACTGTAGAGGGGCCACCCAACCCTATGCAGTTCCAGAACATAGTGCTCATTGATGGGGGTGGGGCTATTCTAGGCTGGCCTCCCTCTCCACTGTCAGAGCAAGCTTTTATTTTTTGGGGCAGTTAGAAAGAGGAATAGAGGTATTAGAAGAGGTTGGGGGGATTTGTCATGGGGTGGAGCTTATAGTGAGTTGCCTCTTGCCTCTGGTAACTATAGGAGAGGAAGATGGAGTGGAGGGATTGCTGTGTTTCGGTTTTGGGTTAGGATTCCTTTTCCATTTTCTGGTTTTAGAAGTGGTAGAAGGGTTAGGGAGCAAACCAGAAGAAGGAGGGTTAATATGAGAGGGGTTATCTGGGGGACAAATGGTTTCTACTGCTATCAAATGATGAGTTGAATAATGTTATGAGGGATATCATGGACGGATGGGGAAGGGGGAATGTTGAAGGGGAAAGAAGAAGGTTGAGGAGGTGGAGGTTTCTGTAAAGGGCTGGTGATCTTATTCAGAGATATGAGATGAGGCTTTATCTAGAGGTGAGGGTTTAGAGGAGGAACTGGAGCTGGGTTTGGTGGAATCAGAGTTGACATTGTGGGATGAGTTATGAAAAAGGTGGGGGTAGTCTGGAGCTCTCAGCCATTCACCGAATAATCCTTTTTTCACAGAGCCATTCTTGATATCAGCTGATCTCATATCACAATTTCTATCGTGATGGCCTAGGAAGCCACAATAAAAACAAAGACTGAATAACTTCTCGTATTTAAATTTCACAAGGATTTTCCTGTTCTGAAGCATTAAGGTTGCACATCTCAACAATTGGTGATCCAGATCAATAGTAACAAGCAGCCTGATGCATTTACCTGCAAGCTATCCACTTTGAGGGATGGAGACATTTTTAACCTGGTTGAAGAAACTGCCGACTTTAGCCCCAACTTCTGTGGAACACCAATTTAGGGGAAGGTTCCAGGCTTGAACCCATAGATCAAGCTCTTTACAAATTTGATGGTCAGCATGGAGATCCTCTTGCCAATCCTTTAGCACCAGAAATTGGTTTTCAAATGTCCATCTTGTGCCTTTGCTCACTTTTATTTTGTTCTCTGTATTGTCAAACACAAATTGAAAATAGTTGGAGCTGATTTCTCGAATAATGACTGGGGACCTAAGCTGCAAGATAATCCCGATAGCCCTTCTTAACCCTGGAAGTTGAGCTTTCTTTTGGCCATGAATTTCCCAAAGAGACTTCTTTTGCAGACCTCTGCACTATTGTGAATATCTGAAACATCAATAGCAATAAGGTTGGCTTCTTTCGCTGAGAGTTGAAATGATGTCAGCTTGTGGACGATTTCTTGCTCCATAACTTCCACAACTGAGATATTCACCCCAATAGAACCAGAGAGAAATAACAAATCCTAACCAACCTGAAAAGGAACCCTAGAAAGAAATATGGAATTAGAAAAGGAAGAAACGGGAATCCTCGAAAGTAAAGGAAATTAGAAACATGAGAAAATGGGAGAGGAAAAGAAAAGAGCGAAAGATAAGAACAGAGAGAAAACTGTAATACCCCGTTTTTTATTTTGGATTATTGGAGAATAATTATTGATTATTGCTATTATTAATTGTCTTTATAGTTATTATTATTATTGTTATTATTATTATTATTATTATTATTATTATTATTATTATTATTATTATTATTATTATTATTATTATTATTATTAAATGCCAATTTGCTCTTATCTGTAATATTACTATTATTAATATAAATTATCTAAATGTTATATTATAATTAAATAAATATGTATTATATATATATGTATAACTATCCGATTGTTATTTTATTTATTGTGTGATTTTTTCATGCCTCGTCTATTATCGTAATCGGAACCGAGAGATGAGTCGCATTTAAACCGCAAGCCCTGGTCCCTTTTAATTCTGTGCGTGTGTGTGCGTGTGTTATTTAGCTTGAGGATCAAGTCTTTTGCTAAACCTAATTACATGATATTTAAGAGAGATAATCCCCTCAGCTCAAATAATTCACGCGCAGCCTTCACCCTCTAATCTCTCCTTCTCTCTCGTGTGTTTTTGAAGTAAAACAGAGACTCGCTCTCTCTTTCTCTCGTGATTCATCGTAACAGGAATTAATCTCTCGTCCTCTCTCTCGCTTACATCTTGTCACCACCATTATCATCGTTCTACCACCATCATCATCGTCGCGCCAGAGCAGAAGCCGGCAAGCATCGTCACCATCAACGGGGACCACGCAGCCGCTGCCCCTTCGCCCAACGCGCAGGCTCTTCATTGCAATCGTCCATCACCTTCACAGTGACCTCCGGCGACGAAACCGATAGTACTGAGAGTCGAGTTAAGAAGTTGCTGCTCGCTAAGTACACCAGCAAGCCCCGTCGCGGCTCTACACCATCACCCTCCGTCGGGTCCCATCGAGTCCAGTCGGAGTGCCGGATGTGGCCGTCGAGTCCCGTCGAGTTCTGTCGGAGTGTCAAACGTAGCCGACGATCCCCGTTATCCAATCGCAGGCCTCCATCATCAACATCGCGATTCCCTAAACCTGCAACTCTGGCAGTCCCTGTTCGTACAGAATCTCCGGTGATTCGCGCCTCGTCTTCGTTCGTTGCAGCATCTCCATGAACAGCAGTCCATCAGGCTCCTACGTGATCACGAGGATCATCACCGTCGCTAACCGCGGTAGTTTCAGTTACCGATCGCAGGCCCTCGTCAAGTTGCTCCAGCGAATCCCGTTTCTCCGACCGGACAGGCTGCCACCATCGCGCAGGCCACCCCTATCGCCGTTGAGCAGACGCTCGGACCACCGCAGGGGCGTTAGACGTGCACAACTGCTGCCCTTGTTGCTGTCCCGTGATCCCATCGGAATGCTTATCCCGATGAGAACCGAGTCTTTCGTCGCTGTCCTCTCAAGCCTTGCTGCTATCCTAAAGTCCGAGCTGCAAGCAATTGACCCCCCAACGTGCACATGGTAACTGTTTAGCCCCAGTTTGGTCCCGTTTCGTAGCCCCGTCCCGAGAACGGTACCCGTGCTAACCCTCGACTTAATTATTTCGTTCGTATATATGTGTTTAAGTGCTCGTATACCTGTTATAATGCTGATCGTGTGATTTATGAATTAATTTCGTGCCTTAGATAATATTTGTGAATTATTGATATATGTATTCGTCGTTTGAATGCCAAAGTGATTGCCGTCACTTTGAAAATTGTCGAACTGAGGCTTTTTTTTTGCACTAAATTAAACAACAGAAAGTACAAAATACAATCCAACATAAACTAAACCTTCGATACCAACCCAAACAAGAGAGAAAAAAAAGACGGGATGCTATCAATCCACAATAAAGGTCCTGTCGACGAGAACAAAAAAACCCGACTAGCAATAGCATGTTCAACACTATTATGTTCCCTAGCCACATGAGAACAAGACCCGCAATTCAGCTGATCCAAAAGCGATAAAATGTCCACGAACACTTGGTGCAACGGATCGGACGAGGAGTTTTCCATCAACCCGATAACAACTGAAAGAGCGTCTGTTTTCACACTTTGAATAGAGAATACCGAATCTAATGCGAAACGAAGGCCATACCTGAGGGCAACTGATTCGGCCTCAGCTGGTGAAAAGAAACCTAGAATGTGAACTGCAAAGACCGCCCAACACACTCCTTTCGAATCTCCAATCCAACCTCCCAAACCAATTGTTGTTTCTCGAACCGCAGCATCACAGAATAAGGTTAGACCATTACAACAGTTCCCTGTTCCAAACCAGCTATCAGAAGCTGGTGGAAGCAAAGCGCGATCCAAATCGAGCTTCCCCGACCGAGCCTTGTTGGCCTCCTCTTGCCAAGCCACCGCAACAAAACAAGCTTGCTCTATCGATTTAGCTTGCAAACCGAGTTTAATTTGGTTCTTCTCATGCCACATGATCCCTAGTAAATAGGCAAAACTAGTAAAATCGGCACCACGATCATTGTTCAAAAGCACCTCGAAAATAACAGAAAACCCCATACCTCGAATAGGAGCGAGAATAGTCCACCACCCGAAAGATTTCCAAAGTCTCTTAGCCCAATCGCACTCGAAAAAAACATGAATATTAGACTCCCACCTCGAACATCTGGGACATCTAGCCTCCCCGACAACATGTCTCCTGAACAGGTTCTCAGCTGAAGGGAATGCCAAGTTACATACCTTCCAAAGGAACAAAGTTTGATTTTAGGGATAATTTTCAAATTCCATAGAGCTTTCCACCACCCACCATTTCACGAAGACGAAGTTTCTGCGAGGCCAGAGGATTGTTGCTTGAGCAAATGGTACCCGCTCCTAACAGAGTACTCGCCGTTCTTGGAAAAGTGCCAAATGATACAATCAGGGGTGGTGATGGCTCGACTAAGGGGCACATAAATAATTTTAAGCGAGTTAATTGGCTGAAAAACTCGATTTATCAATTCATGGTTCCAATCTCCATCACTTCCAAATAGTTCGCAGTCTCGATCAATGCATGACGGGAAAGGGGAAATAGGTCGAAACCCCTGAAAATGAGGGATCCATGGGTCCGAAAAAGCCCTAATTGACTTGCCGTCACCCACTCTCCATCGCATTCTTAACTTAATGACTTCACGGCCCCTAACAAGACTTCGCCACAAGAACGATGATCCTGGCTGAACTGATGCCTCTAGGAATGAGCAAGATGAAAAATACTTTGATTTAAGGACTCTAGTCACAAGCGAATCCGGATTCGAAAGGACCCTCCTGAGTTGTTTCCCAAGCAAGGCTTGATTGAACTTTGAGAAGTCTCGAAAACCCAAGCCACCGAGATGTTTGGACAGTGTTAACTTATCCCTCTTAACCTACAACAATTTTCTTTCTCCTTGTTTAGACCCCCACCAGAATTGAGCAACAAGCTTTTTTAAATGATCGCAAACGAGTTGTGGGATTCGAAATAAGCTCATTAAATAAATGGGCATAGATTGTATCACAGCTTTAATGAGAGTTTCCCGGCCCGCCGAAGAAAACTGATTCCGCCTCCATGATTGAAGTCTTTTCCAAATTTTCTCCCTAATAGTCGCAAATGTTCGACTCTTATCCCAACCGATCATTAAAGGAAGACCCAAATAAGTGTTGTGGGGGGCAGGTGAGAGAATTCCCAAGCGAAGGCAAAGATTCGAACGAACTTGAGATGGTGTATTAGGGGAAAAGGAAATCGCTGATTTTGCCAAATTAATCTTTTGCCCAGATGTCGCCTCGTAACTCTCTAATATATTGACAATTGTTGTTGCTTCATCCGAGTTGGCTTTCGCAAAAATAATCGAGTCATCCGCAAATAAAAGGTTTGAAATCGGCAGACTGAATATGCTACATTTAAAGCCCGAAAGGGATTTCTCCGATTCTACTTTATGAAAAGCCGCCGAAAGATCACCTTCCGCGCACAGAATAAGAAGGTAAGGAGATAAATAACACCCTTGTCGAAGTCCACGTGAAGGTCTAACACTTCCCACGAGTTTCCCATTTATCCGAAATAAAAATTTGACCGTTGATATGCATTGTCGTATCAACCGGTGGAATTGCAAAGAGAAGCATTTCTTAAGGGGCATCATATCCAAAAAAAATCCCATTCGACTCGATCATATGCTTTGCTCATATCTAATTTAAGTGCCATCCAATGGGAATAGCCTTTGCGTTTTTTGGACATTGAGTGAAGCATTTCAAAGGCGAGGATTGCATTATCCATAATAAGCCGATCTGGGACGAAGGCGCTTTGATGCACTGAGATAAGAGGGTTCATGACCTTCATTAGTCTCGTCGCCACAGCTTTTGAAATAATTTTATAGAGGACCGAACATAAGCTTATGGGCCGAAAGTCTGCGATCATATCTGGTTTTTTCTTCTTCGGAATCAAAACGATAATTGTATCATTGATACCCTCGAGAGAGCCGCCATGATTGAGTATATCGATACAGACCGGAAGAAGATCTGGCTTAATAAGCTCCCAGTGAGTTTGGTAAAAGATGGCGTGGAACCCGTCGACTCTTGGAGCTTTATACGGGCCAATGCTTTTTAAGGCGGCCAGAACTTCCTCTTCCGTATAAGGATTATCGAGCAAAGATGCCTCTTCCGATGAGATACACCCTCCCACCTTATCGGTCATCTCTGAAATCTGTTCAAAAGTCGGACGAGAGCTGGAAAAGAGATCGACAAAAAAGGTGGAAACAAGCTCACCAATCTGTTGCTCGCTTCATGTCCATTCTCACTGATCGTTTTTAAGCTTATCAATTCGATTAGCACTAAATCTGGCTTTAGCCCGAGAATGGAAAAATTTTGTATTGCGATCTCCTTCCTTGAGCCAGTCGATACGGGCCCTTTGTTTCCCGAAACTCTCCTCGTGGCATTGGAGTCCATGAATCTCTGACTCTAGTTCTTTAATCGTGGCCATTAAATTCGGAGAATCTGGAGATTCATAAAGTTGCTGAAGTTGCTTCTCCTTCTTCTCCAGAATTTACTTTCACCCTGAAAAAGACTTTTTGCTCCACTCATGCAACCTTTTCCTACAGTCGGACAGGCTGAAAAATACTTGAAGTTGTTCTGACGACGAAAAGGGGGAGCCAGGCCTCTCGACCAACTCTCTCGAACAACATCGAAGAAACCATGTTCTTTTAACCAAAATGGTTCAAATCTGAACTGACGATTTTTTGAAACCGGCGCGTGAGCCTGTCTCTCCTCTGAATGAATAAGAATGGGCCTGTGATCAGATGAAAAGAAAGAAAGATGTTCAGACCAAGATTAAGTGAAGAGATTCAACCAATCGTCTGAGGCCAAAAATCTACCCAAGCGAGATTGAATATTCGCTGCTCTTTTTCTCTTATTGTTCCACGTGAAGGGAAATCCTTTAAAAGGAATATTATCCAAATTGCAATCTGAGAGGGTCTGTTGGAAAGCCCGAGAATAAGCTTGGTTCCGGAAGGCCCCTCCACAATGTTCCTCCAAAAGTAAAGTTTCTTTGGAATCCCCACAGCAAAGCCAAGGAAGATTCGACAATGGTTTGAGTCTACAAATAAGATTCCACGTATGATGTCGATTCTCCGCCTTCGGTTGTCCATAAAATCCTGTAAATCACCAACGTCAGAACTCATGATCTTTGATAACCACATCAATGTGCCCCACCGAAAAAAGATTTAATCTCTACCTTCCATCTATCCGACCACAATAACATAAGCCCGCCACTGAAACTCGAACAGTCCACCACAAAATTTCCTGAAAGAGAAAGATGATAGCGAATATTATCTGCCTCAGCGCCAGACAACCTAGTCTCAGACAGAAAGACTAGGTCGAGGAAAATTTTACAGACGAGATTCTGTAACGATCTCAACGTACGAGGATTCCCCAACCCTCGCACGTTCCAACAAAGACAACTCATTTCTCTCGGCGCCTCTGCTGAGCAGAGGTCGCCGCTTCAATAATCAAACAGGTGTTGTCCTCCATAACTACATCCTCAACCACCCTTATCCGTTTGCTAGGACCCTTCAACGGAATATCCGAAGTATTTTGAGTTGGTTTCCGCTTCCACCGTTTACGTTGTTCGCCTTTTGAGATATTACTCAACGTAGTTTGAACCAAAGTAACTTTAGGAGGGGAGCAGATCTCGTCTACTATTGAATCCCCTTGAAAAAACTCTAATTTACTAGCAGTAGCATCCACAAATTCTTGAATTCCCACATTTTTACCAGTATTTCGAACGTCCTGACTATCATCAACTAGTGTTGGATGACTGGAGAAGCTTCATTTGGAATGGGACTCCGCTTCCCATCTTCTTTGCTCACACCGGGGTCACTGGACTATGGAGTGCTCTCAGTATTAGAAGAAAAAGAAGATGTGCGACTCTGCCGTCTTCTGAACCCTGTAGGAATAGCGCGCAACCAATTGCCATACTTGCGTGAAGTTTCACCTGAAAGGTCCCCCGACTTGGCCGGACACTCGCACATACGGTGCCCCCACCAGACCGCAAATGAAACAGAATTCTGGGAGTTTTTTGTACTGGACGGGAATAGTAAACTCATTCAATGCCTCCAGAAATACCCGAAGGCCGCGACGAAGCGGTTTAGAGACGTCAACTTTCACTTTCACCCTTGGCGTTATGCCTCTACAATCCACATCAACTATCTCCCCCAACTGTTGTCCTACCAAACACACACAATGGTCCGTGTGGCAGAGCAACGGTAAATTTATAAGATACACCCAAATTGGAACAACGTGAAAGTCCATTGCACTAATAACTCCAGCCCCTTGTGGTTTAATCAAGGAAATAAGTTGCTTATTAAACAACCATGGTCCGCCATTGAATACTAGATTCGATCTTCTTCGGACCCAAGCTGAAACCAAAAGATATTATTTGCACCCTTTGTCTCGATTTAGAAAGAATACTTAGTCCTCCAAATGGTGCGCAGAACTGATTCGAGGTTGTCTCTACTCGAATTTCTACACCAGATAACCTTCCCCACCAAGCTTGTTGCAAGTCTATCTGCCCCAATATCAGAGTCCTGTTTTGCCACTGGGACTGGAGCCTCATCCAACTCCAACCGCATCTTATCGCATAACTTGGAGATCTCCTCAGGATCCATGGCCCGCTACCAAAAGAGAGCCTAAACATACGAGACCCACGAACCCAGAAGAGTAACACCAAATAACAAACACCACCGCAAATCGTCCGTTCCCGATGAATATCCAACGAACCCTAGGTCCGAGCCCCAAAATGTTATCGAGATGAGAACCCACCCCAATTACCTTCAGGAAAATGCATTAGAACCCTAGTAGCTTCCAGGCCCGAGAAAGAGTTGACGAAATCGCAACACAAAACCAGCCTTGCCAGAAAAAGCAGACTAAAAGCTGCAATCGCCCAAATCGCTCACACGGGAGAGAAAAGGAGTTTTTGAACTGATGTTAATGTAGTATTTTTCGTGGAAGTGCTGTGGATTATTGGACTTAGGAATGTCCTTGACGCAACGACTTTGGTCTTGTGTCGTTTCGATATGTATATTGTAAGATATGAATTTTTGAAAATCGTGCTGCAGCCCGTTTTTTCTAAAATAACTATAAATCGAGTATTGCTCCAAAAATTCTGATTTTTGGATATACGGTTATATTGCTGTTATATTACTTGTAGTTAAAATTTGAGATTTTTATATGGTTTGTAGCCTCGTCAAAACTTGAAAACCGTTTTTGGACTGTTTCTTAATAAGTTCATATAAAATTGAGTTCTCGTCCAAAATGGCTAATGTTTGGATATATTGCTGTTCTTCATGATATCTTGCTGCGGTAAAAATTTCAAAGTTAAATTCGGGCTGTAGCAATTTTAAATGATTTAATTCAATTTCTGGTTAGATTTTTCTTAAATTATTTAAAATGGTTAGAAGCATGTTTAGGGGTTTTCCTTTGGTGAGAATGTGTGTTTTTCAGTCTTTTATATGCTGTAAAAATTTGAATTGAAAAGTCCAAGCCTAACTCCTTATGGTCCCATTCTTATAATTTTTGGACTAGTCCGTTTAACCTGTTTTTGGCACTGGTTGGCCTTGTTGGCAAACTCTTGACCTGTTGACCCCGTATTTGTGTCAACCCTTCATTGCCTGCATTTATATGATTTGATATTTGGTTGGTGGAGTCTAGAAGTCGTCCTAATGTTCTAGCTCTACAACTTTCACGAGTTTTTAGTCGATGTGATTCGACTAAGTATAATTCTCTTTATCTGTATAGAGTCGAGATAGTTGCTTATGGGACTGTCTTGACTTATGTAGGTGCTTGTCAAAGAGTTTCTCAACCACCTACGACTTTCTGGTTAAATTGCTTTATCATCCGACACCAGGTGGGTTTTATTTGAAAAATTGCTATGCCTTAAATATTATTATTGTTTACTTGTGGTATGATCAAAGCATGCATGTGAACCATGTAGCCTTTGATGTGAGATGTACCGGCCCTCGAACGGTTATTCCCTTGATAAGATTTTCCCCTAAGACCCACGGTGGGCCATATCGATGTAAGTCACATGGCGATGCCTTCGATATGTTTGTTCGATGTAAGTCACATGACGATGCTTTCGAAATGAATGTCGATGTAAGACACATGGCGATGCCTTCGACATGTACTCCTACAGTCAAGTTGACGATGTAAGACACATGGCGATGCCTTCTAAGATACTAGCTGTAGCTAATGATAGGTTGTGTACACATGAGTCTTGATTATTGATATTATTGATGGGGAATGGGAGAGGCTATTGCTTTGTATACATGTTGAATCCATACCTCATTGATTATTGATTACTGTTTCATCATTGAGAATAATGTTTACTGCATAGTGGTGAGCACTACTGTGTCCTCTTGTGCTCATCCCCACATGCTCTTCATGGATGCAAGTTAGTTTGCGCGGGTACGGCGAAGGGATGCGAGTGGTGGTCATAGTAATTAATATTGCTTCCGCTTGATGAGCTTATTACTGTTATTATTGTATTTTGATTAATGAATATTGGATTATTGTTAAGGAGTAAACTCTTTGGATATTGGAAATTTGAGGAACCCGTTTGAGAGTTAAGATTATGTGTGAATTTATGATAACGTTGATGAATGGTTTAAAAAATGTGTAGCGCCGCCAAGTGTTTTAGAAAATAAATTTGAAAAATTTATTCTGATTTTCGGCAAATAAAAGTGGAGCGTTACAAAAACTCTCTAATGAGAGATGGCCATCAATAGTGGAACTTTATGGACTCCGGCGAGGTGAGTAATCGGGGCTCCCATTGCGAGCGGATTATTTTGTACAATTATCCTAAGGTTTTATAGTTTATTACCATACTATTCAATGGAAATATATTGTACAATTATTTTATTATGGAAAGAAATCATAATAGAAAAAAATGATGAAAAATTAATCATGGTAAAATGACAATAATCCCCCTATATATAATTTTCGTATGTGCTGAGCTACAGAGCATCTACAATTCATTACATGGATAAACCAAAGTTTTTTATTACATGGATAAAACTATGTAAAATTGATAAAATTCATTCCAATGCAAAGAGAATAGGTCTCCACTTGGATCTAAAATAGACTTAAGGGTAGACCGGGTCTCTTTTTCTGGCTGTCACATCAGCAGAACCCAGTCTACTTTTGTTTGCATTGGAGAATACATTTTTTTAGACTAGGTCTATTTCTAAGGTGACATTCAATTTTTTTATTGAACCCAAAGCATTGTGGATGCTCTAAGTAGCATACTCACACGCTTTGGGATCCTATGTGGCAAATTTCTAAGCTTTGTTGTTTGAATAAATTTTAATTTACTTCCATAGGCTTGTAAAATCCCAATAGATTAGATATTTATTGTCCCTTTTAAGAGAATTAATTATGTTTTAGAATTATTTCCTATTGTAGACGTGATTTATAAGGTATAATTTT